CTGAGCTTATCTTTCTGATGTATTTCCACTACATCTGTAACTTGAATCAACTACATTAATTTGAGACTGTAGCCACTCGTCCCAGTCCTTTCCCACTACATAGACTAGCCTCGTTACAGGATATTGTATCTTGCACATAACATTTTCTTGTTTCATCAAAAAGACTTGAACTGTGCTTGAATACACGAGTTTTCGAATTGCAGTCCACTCTGAATGAGAGGCAATGCTAAATGAAATTTAATAGCATCGGGAAAATTAAATTATCGGCGACTGTGACCAAAGTCGCGACTTTAGATCTTATACATAATTCATTTCTGATCTGCTTCTTCCATCATCCTCTTCCTACAGGTTAATAACTGGTTCGAGATTGTCACCGCAATCGCGGCTCATGACTGCTCTGCTGTGCAGCACCGCGGTGCTCACTTATTGCGCAACATTATATTAAACGGTCCAGAGTCTTTGGTTGGTTATCTGGCAAGTAACCAGTCTCCCACACTCGAGGTATTGATGGCACTTACTCAGGTTGCCGACCTTACTGACAAAGAGCTGCCCAAGCCCTCAGATATAATCCTTTTCAGGGCTCGTGCCCTGGTCACTGTTGTCTCCTCCAAAGGCAAGGAAATCGCTGGACCCGATGTCCTACATGCTGAGACGCGGCGTCTTGTTAATTTAGATCGATTGGGAACCCGAAGATGTGCAGCGGACGCACTCGCCAAGTTGCAAAGCCTTGGTCTGATACAAAACGCCAAATTAACCAGCCAGATTGCAGCTACCAAGGAATGTAGCGGAAGTTAGCCAAACACACTCAAAGATTGGGCACGATGGGTATGGACTCCTGGTTCGCTTGAAGTTCTAGCAATATAATAGTGAAATGTTTCATTTTTGTCCGATTCTTTATTTTAAGCTTTTATGGGTGCTTTGTGAAATACAATTTTTTCTAAAAGGATGTGATAGATGCCGTGATACTGGCTAAAACAACTTATTTCTGGTGTTTTTCTATATTCAAAGCATTCATTTTTTTATTTTCCTGCATCCTTTTATCCGTTGTCTCCTTCACTTCTTACCTAAGTGCCTAGAATCCTTTCGGGACATTGATTTTCCCTTTTTAAGGCTCATTAATGCAACTGTGATAATTGCAGTTCCTTGACAAGCATTAATTACTCTGAGTTTTGATCTCATTTCATTTTATATTGATTTTGGCTACGGAATTAGCTTTGTCTATTCTCGCTTCCACTAGCAAATAAAATCTTAATATGAACTCGCATATGCTACTCCTTTACCTTTCAACTTTCCCCGTAATTATAAATCACTATAGCAGTATTAATAATGTTTTCCGTGCCTCATTTACTCTATTAACTTGATATTTATTACAGTTTTTTTACCATATTTGCATTTATGCCTCTTCTTTTAGATGTTTCACCAAAGTGCAATTGGCTCCAAAGCATTTAACCATGTTTTTTTCCTTTATTACCTCCCTTCTTTAATAGATTACATGTAATTTCACTTTAAAATCTTTATTCTCTCTCCTTGATTGAAATTTTTTATCGTTTTTCAGGTGATTGTTGCTAAACAATTTCGGATTTTTAAGCTAAAAATCTGTCATGTGAAGGCCAAGATGTTGTGGCTCCTGTTTTGAACACAGTATCCTTTCGCTTTATGAAAATGGTTTGACCCCGTTTTCGCAACTTCATCGTGCTATCATGGCGAACTAGTGGGACGCATCTTGTTCGAAGTCCTTTAATATGCTAGTTATGATAATTCACAGCGTCGTTGCGTGGACATAGTAAATTACCAGACGTTTCGCCGATATCTTAGTCGGCATCTTAACTAAGTCTTGCCACTTAGTACAAAGCTACGACTCGTAAGAGGATGAGTCAGATTGATCCCTTGACAAACATTCTTCCAGACGGTTGTCTTTTCACTCCCGGAGATTGGTTTCTTGTCTTACTGGTTGGTTGATTTCATTCGGTTCCAGTCACAGTATACTTTTTAATCAATTAATTTTTTCTCACGGTCTACTGGAAGCCTTTGGTTGCGCCTATATGATTGACTCTTCAACATTATATTTTAAAAACTTTAGGAAATCCTTTAATTTTTACTTTCCACACGACTAAAGTACAAAGTAGTCAGTCAGGTACCGCATGTGCACTCTGGGTTGCTGCGGTGGTGTCTTGAAATTCTCTTATCTCTTCATATATGTATTTACGAAACGAGGCGAAAGCAGCTATTCCAAAGAAAGTCTGAATATTTATTCGTAGATATTACCGTTAAATATCAAGTAGGTAGTCCTTATTATCAGGATGATTGGCTGCTAACGGCTCCCTCGTCCTTTCTTGACGTAACCACATCTTTTATTTTCACTAACGTATTTAGGGTGCTACTGAATACCTAACCGCGTTATAACTTTGTGGAGACTTTCGTTTCGTATGAAAGTGCTTTATGAGGGGCTTCGTAGGTCGGCCTCACCAGAAGACGGCTGCTAGCTCCTGCCTTTTTTGACTTTAATATGAAGTTCAGGTTGACGCACTGCACCAGACATCCTCCTTTAGAGTGAATACGGGCTGCCATATGATGAACATCAGAACTGAAACAAATTCTTGCAAAATTCTTAATTTAACACTAAGTCGAGAAAACTATCCTGAATGCTATATCCTTTAACGAAAAATCTTTAGATATTTTATGGTCTTTGTTCCCTTATCCTCGAGTGCGCCTGGTGCGCATGTTTACATATGTATGCGAAACAGGTAATAATTCAGAGCAATAGAAAAAAGCATAACTTTGACCCCGGATTATCAATGATTACTGATCCGAGGAGCATTATGACAGATTACGTAAGCCCGTAAATCTGTGGCCTTACGATGTCATTTAATTTAATTTATATGAGATGTGTTCACTATTTCGTTTGAGGTGATGAAGAACTTGTAGTTGAATTTTTTCACAATGATCTGACTAAGCCTTGAGCTTCCATTGAATTTCACATTTTGTAAGATTTACTTATATGGTTATAGGAAAACAAACATTTATCACCTATATAGGAAATACAACTTTGCTTCATCTGCAATTTTATCAAAGAATGTGATATGGGAAAATACCTGGCTTTCACTGAAATTTATATTTGCCCTGTAGCTCAAGAACACTCGTGGTAATTTGGCGTAGTTATTGACGTGTAGAGATTAGACACTGCAATTTCATGGTTAGAGTCAAGCTGGGAGTGTTGATTAGATCTAGACGTGGTCAAAATTGCAGTCCACTCCGGCCAGGATAAGGGTTCCTTTTGGGAAAGCATGGCTGTATGGAATTCAATGGAAACATAAGGTCTGAAAATTTGATTGCTATTTCTTTCATTACCTTCAATGAAATGAGGTGAATTCAACTCGTATATATGCTTTATATTGCCAGCAGAATTATCTGTGCAGAATCCCAGATTAAAAATTTAGAGGTGACAATGGAATTGGAATATTAACTAATTTGTTAACATTAGGGGTTGGGTTATAGAGTTAAGCAAGAGGAATTTTTGCTTCATTGATGGGATATAGGAAAGAGTAGTAAGCGAATCACCTGCGAAAAAGTTGTTTCATTTGCTTAAATATTCACACACTATTGCAAGCATGAAGGTAATTATCTCATTAAGCCGGGACTCCCTAATTAAACAATTG